AAAAGAAACAAATGTTTTATATTGATAATGATTATGATAATCAAAATAAAATTTGAATATTTTCTTTCATTATGACATTATGAGATTATTAAGTGTATTTTCTAATCCGAGACATTCATACAATATCTTATTCAATAATTAAAATTTTAAATTTTAACACCAGGCGATTAAAAATTTTCAAAAATAACATTATGTAATAGTAAATGTAATCGTTTTGTAATCGCTGTGAAACATTGAGACATTCGCGTAACATGGGTGTGTGATTTCGACAATTATAATAAATTGGCGCGTTAATAAAATAAACTTTATTACTTTCGGTCTTATTTTATATAATGATTAATACAAATCAATCATTTTCTTTTTTTAAAGTTATATAACGTAATTTAATTATTGATATTACTAAAGCTTTTGAAACAAAAAATTGAAGCAAAACGAAAAAAGACATGAGAAAGTACCAAGCCTCATCCGGTTAATCATTTTCGGAAAACATCTTTCGTCCGAAAGGATCTTTGTACGGAAAAAATGCATGTTTCCGTACTAAAGTTTCTTCATAAGGATTACATAAGCATTGAGTAATTACGTTGGTCAATCTACCAAGTTTGTATAGTGCATAAATTATTCGTACAAAGGGTTTCTTGACTCGTCTTTGTAGAGTAACTATATCAGTCGAAGATCTGATGATCAAAAATAAAAAATATTCGATGGAAAAAATTTCACGTTATCATATTCAAGCACTTTGATTAAAACTTGTACTCAATTTATCAATTGAAGGCAAACAAACAAACAAATAAAATAATATATAATTTGTTCATAAATTTTATTACATATAATTAAATTTTTACAAGATCTTTCGAATTTGATTAAAAATAAAACAAAGTACTTTCATTCCTCCCATTCAAAACTAACAACATTTCGATCTCGATAACCGGATAACTCAAATCTATAATCTTTAATAGTCCAAGTTCTTTCATCGGAAAAATTTTTTATAAGGACATAAAGATTCTTTAAGATATCATAGACTTCCATCCCTCCACTTTTCCAAATAAATTTAAACGATTTCAATTTGTTTGATTTAACGTTACTTAAGAAGAGAGGTAAAGTATCCTGATTAAACGAACAATTCCTTAATATAATGTTTTGAATAGATTCCGGAACTTGTTGAGCAAAGTCAACAAAAAAAGAAGGTGTGATAGGAATTAACAGATTAAGATTAATTGACAAAAGGTTCAAATTATTTTTGAAAATGGAATAAATAATGTCTAAATCATTTAAATTATGAATATTATAAGAAATGGTTTGTAAGTTTAAACAGTGATTGGGGATCTTCTCAAAGATATTCTTAAAATGAAATTCCGTCAAGGTATTGAAATCGAGTTGAATTAAATCCGCATAATGGTTTCGTATCAAGGTGATTATTGATTGATGAACTTCACTCTCTTGAAATTGTAATTGATCGGAACTGCAAGTGTTCCAATCCAATTTCAACCGTTTTAAATTAGAGAATGGTACACTCACATCATGATAATAATTTTCAACCTTATTTAATTCACCCAGTGTTAATTCCAATGAATTTCCCCATTCATCACTTAAAAAATAAAATCCCGATTTTTCAATACTATTATGAGATTCTAAGCTTAACTTTGCTATGGAATGAACGTTGCTACGTAACTCCGATAGAATTAATTTAACGAAATGAGTACTTTCACTAATATGTAATGTTTCAAGGTTGGGTTGTGATTTGATCGTTTCAATTAACGATGAATAAGGGATGTTATCCTTTTCGTCGCCATACAAACTTAGGGACAAATCTCTGATTTGATTGTTGGCCAATTTCAAAAAATTAAATAATATATTAACGTCCTTGGCCAATAATTTACAATGAAATTTTCTTAAAGAGTGTGAGAAGGCATTTTCCTGCCCGGGTGTTTTCAAAAGGACGCCAAAGATATCATTTGACCGCCAAAAAAACATATCTATAACAAACGTCTTGATCCTCGAATTATTTATAACAATTTTATAAATCAATTCAACGAATATATCATGATAACTCTTATCTATTTTTTGTACCATCTCGTAATACAAGTTGGACCGTTTTTGATCTTCTCGTATCTTTTTTAAGCATAAGATCACTTGATGATACATATCCATATAATCTAATTCTTTGATGAAGGATGCGTAATTAAACATTGTTTTCGTTGGGATGTAATAGCTTGTGATTGAATCATTGATTTTTATCATTTCCTTGGTGTCTTTATCAAGGTAGGATATTAAGGGTAATATCACTTTGAATGAACTATTAATAGTTTGATATTCCTTGAACGGGTTACTCCACAACATTGGCATACTTATTTGACACCACGTCCTGTTAACTAATATTATTGAGCATAGTGATTTTCTATCCGTCTCGATAGATTTAAATATCTCTAAAAGGCACTCGTTTGGTAAATTTGATGCCATCGTTTTTTTTTTTTTTTTTTTTTTTGTTAGAGGTGAAAAGGTAAAAAAAAAAAAAATTAAATAAAATAAAGGTAAAATAAGATAAAAAAAGGAACGAGGGAAAAAAAAAAAAAAATAAAAGACGAATACGCAAAATAATAATTTACAACGTTTTTTTTTTTTGAAATTGATTGCGGTACAATCGGAGTAGTTAAATACCAAAAAAAAATTTTTATTTTGATGATTGTTGGCTGCAACCTGCTGTGATTGTTCCTGTCAATTTGAAAGAGAATTCAAATGTTTTTTTTGTCGGAATAATTATTATAGCTATGATCGACCCCCTTCATTATTAATTGCTGACATAATAATTGACAAATTATTTTTGATAATCCTCCTTTAAAATTTTTTGTTTAATTGACATAATCACATGCAGATCATTCACATTGTCTCACGTTACACCATCATCGAATATAAATTGGTTCCCGAAAAATTGGATTGCATGTAATTTAATTTTTTTTTTTTTTTTTTTTCAATCTATAGTTGTCGTAGTAGTTGTATTTCGTGGTTGTTCATCCTTTTCAAATAAATAAAAATCGATTGATCCCTAAAATAATAACCATCAAAAGAATAAATCAAAAATGGCAGGATTTCCTAATAATAAGGAAGCTATACCAAAAGAATTAAGATACATGCAAATGGTACAAGAATCATGTGTTCTTAAAGTTGGTTTCAGTGGTGTAGGAGGTAAATATGGGAGGAGGGGTTAAAAAATAAAGAAAAGGAAAAAGAAAAACCCCTTCATCCGGAAAATTAACGTTTCATTTATACCCTTTTGCATGAATAGGGTTCGTATTGGGTGGAGTATTTGGGATGTTTATGTCATCATTTGAAATGGCTTCGGTAGATCCAGCAATCTATGAACAACCAATGAAACAGCAATTAAAAGCGACCGCAAAGGATATGGCAAAACGATCTTTTTCCATGGCGAAAAACTTTGCCATAGTTGGTTCAATATTTTCCGGTACCGAATGTGTGATCGAAACTGTAAGTACTTAGTTCGATCTTTTAATCATAATAATACTTTACAAGTTTTAACCTTTTTTTATCGACATAGTACCGAGCAAAGAATGATTTATATAATGGTGTTGCATCTGGCTGTATAACTGGCGCCGTATTGGCTGCTAAATCTGGTCCACAAGCTACTTTGATTGGATGTGCAGGATTTGCAGCCTTTTCAACGGCCATCGAATATTATATGAGGAGAGAATAATAAGAAAAATAATGAAAAAAAAAAATTTGAGCAAAAAGAACATTTTATTATTATCTTAAGAAGAGGAAGACAAAGTCACCTTGGGATGGGAAAAAAGGATAATTCTAAATTATTATTACAAATGGAGAAAAATTTAACGAGTAAAAAGTAGTAATCATAATATAATAATATTTTATCAAAAGAGGGTGTAAATTTAACACAGTTTAGAAAATTGATATTTAAGAAATCAAACAAAAGCATCAAAAAGCATTATAAATTTCAATTCATTTAGATTTTTTTTTTTTTTTTGACATCTGACTTTAATTTATTCAGGTTGTAAATAAATAAAACGAATGAATATCTATTAAGTTCAAAATGGATAGAGAGCAAATAATACTAATAATAATAATAGTTACAAATAAATAATAAATAAGTAAGTAAGAAAGGAAGAAAGAAAGAAGACGCGTTCAACTCGCACATTAACGAAATTAAATCTAGAGAAGAACACATTCTAAACTTTCCCTGCATTATTACAATAATCTTTTTAAAAGCCCAACGTCATCTATCGTTTATAAATGTCAAATTCGAGATAGAAATATACATAAGGGTAATAATCTTTATCGATCAAATTTTGATATTCTTCAATATCATTATTTTCATCACGGCTAAGTGTACCACCAAGTTTCCCGTATTGATTATTTAGTATCTCCCTTATTTTTTTATCCATCTTATATTTTGGCTAGTATCAATAAAATTCATGATTAGCTTATGTAAACTTATGTAATCAAAAGGGAATAGAATGACTTACCCTAATAATAGCTGACATAAAATCCGGTGGTAATCCGTAACGTAAAACAGACTCAACATAAACTCTCAATGCTTTGAGATGAATCCATGATGAGAATACTTCTCCGAAATTTGCAGTGGCCAATCTTAATAAATTTTCCTAAATACACATGATCATGTATTAATATAATCGTATAGATCTCATGACCATTATCGTAGAATTATAAATATTTAATTTACCGATAACTCTTTTTCTACAGCTCCAACCTCCTCATATTCTTTGCGCTGATTTTCCATATCACTTTCATCGTATTTGAAATCTCTTACAACGAACCTTTTGAGTCATTAATAAAATAATTTAATAAATATAGAGAGAAGACTAGCGAATATTCCATGATACACAAGCTTGTAAATATAATTACTTTTCTTCTCGACATTTGTTCGCAAATTCGTTACTAACTTTCTTAAAGAGAGTTACGGTAAACAATCCAAAGTCATTATCTTCCGCAATTTTCCTATAATTTCATAAATCTATATTAGGACTTTTCACAAATTAGAAAAAACGTAATCAAATGCTTTCGCTTACTGGGAAGAACGTGGTACAATCTTATCCGTAATACGCTCATATTTGGCAAACCACTCTTTGTAAAGATTCCTTATATTCGGTAAGTTACAATTAGCAAGATATAAGGATAAAAACTTAGTTAAGGTCAAACGTTGTCTTACTTGGGAACCGCTACAACCAAAGTCTCCAAATATTCCGAGTCCAAAACGAAATGTTCCTTTTTAACAACATCTGCAACGTTGCGTACCGCTAAATTTCCACTGTTATGTAATTAAGACTAAATTTAATGGATTGGCAATACAAAGGAAAGTAAAAATTAAGAAGAAAACATCATATTACGTTTGCTTTCGTTCCAAAGCCTGAAGATTGCTTCTAACCTGGCTATAATGAGTAGATTTGGCCTTCATCATGGTATCGATTCTTGTCACTTCCTGATATATATATAATAAATTCCCTTAGGATATCATATTTTTAAAATATATGTGTATAACAAACTTCAAATCAAGATAATGTTCAAACCTTGTTAATGATTTGAGCTATTTCCTGAAGAGATTTCTCGGCTCGAAATTTCAATGTGTCCCACTGAAAGGTCTTCAAATATTGTTCGACAGTTTCTGTTAAAAAAAATAAGGGATTATTTCATAAATGATAAATACCTACAAATAAGCGTTACTTTAAGAATTCATTGCTTTTAACAAATATTTCTATATAATAATAAATATAAAAGGTAACTTACTATCATTCACGATCAAATTTTCTGCAACTTGGTTCAAATCCCCCTTTAAAAGGTTGCGAAGAATATCGACAATCTTGAAGGTTGTTGATTCAAAAGATTGATCATATTTTATGAGTTCGTCTGAAATAACGACGAGTGCGTCAAGTGTTCCAATCTATCGAATCGGGAATTAAATATAATGAATTAATTATAGAATTCAAAAATATTTAATTTAATAAAGCTCTCATATGTTACCTTAAATTCTGGGATTATGAATTGGTATACTTCGGCGTAATCAGAACCTGAACCGGTTAACTTTGACTTTAAATTTTCGTAAACGGCTGATTTATTTTTTTCAGCAGGAACTATTTGTGATGCAAATAAAAGTTATTACTTTCACAGATAAAAAAGAAAAAAATTTGACAGTATTCTTTTTTAAAAAAAAAAAAAAAATACCAGAGATAAACCAGTAAGTGTTGTGCCTGTGTTTAGTAGACATTGTAAAAAAAAATTTATTTATTGTATTTTATTTTTTTTTTTGAGAGATACTTTGGTTTTTCAGTGCTAATATATAAATCAAATATCTAGAAACCGATTAGAATCTAGATCTGATTTTTATATATAAATCAGATATTAAAACTGAGTACTAGATTTAGTAAATCTGATCATTGATTTGGGTCAATATATTTTTTTCCATTGGATCTTAAAATCTTCAACGTGAGCTTGGCGTCACAACAATCAAATTAAATCAGCCCTTTAAAAGTGGTGAAACAGATTTCGTACTTCCAATTTATGATTTATTTTTATGTTAAAATAGATAGTTAAGGATAGAATCAAGATAAATCAAATGAATTTACAAACTAGAAAATCGAATTTCGCCCTTTTGGTATTAAGATCCATATCGATATTACATGTTTTGCTTGCTTTATTGATAATTGATCAACTGCTAAATTTCTAAATTGGGAAGTTTTAAACCCAAAACCAAGTTATTGGATAACAAATACGTATTAATGCTTTGTAACACGAGAAAATTTTAAAATAAAAATGTGCCGCGATAATTTTTTCTATTCATATTAATTAATAAAATGGATCAAAGTACACCTATGATAGTTGATTCCATGAGCACGCCGCGTGTTTATAGTAATGCATCAAGATTTCAGGGAACGGCAGAATTTACACCTTCGATTTATGCTACCCCGCAAGTTCATTCTTCGGATATGCTTGTTAATGGCTTTCCCAGTATTGTTAGTTTCTGTTTATCAACATAGAAGCCATGTAACTCTCGCATTTATATTAAATCACTTTTATTTCTTTATTTTCTTAGATGAATTCATCCATTACCAACTTGGGGACAAGATTACTGAACACTGGTATTTCTTTTGAAAGTTTACTCGATAGATTATGACTTACTTAATCTTTGTTGACATTGATTCAACTTTACAGATGGAATGTACTTTGGTAATGATATAATTCAAAGGTATGCTGAAGTGTATGAACATACACGACCTCAGGAAGATATAGGAAATGCACCTGAAACATATGAGCAAATGTGCGAAGAATAGTAAGTTTTACCCTTGCGCTTATTACTCCGATAGTATATAATTGAACGCGTAATTTAGCGTCTAATTTTTTCATAGTTCTAAATCGTTCCGCGAGGAAGGCGGTGGAATATTCAATTTTAAACCTCGAGAATGTCGACTCTGGGAAGCTGAGCGTAATACGTGGAAACTATTAAAGCTATTATCACAGTAAGTAATTGAATTGATTTATGAATAAATATTACAAATATCATTTATTTTTAAAAGTGGTATGATTCTTCACAATAGATATCGGTTCACGCCTATAAAAAGTCTTGATGGAACAAGAAATCCATTTCAAACAGATGGACAGCTTTTATGTGAGCTTCTCGCGATCGATAAAGATTTTGCCGAGGCTTGGGTAAGATACTCGTCACGTGCATTTTTTTTTCCTTCGTAAAAAATTAACGTGATGATCAATCAATCTGGTTCGCCTTTTATAGATTGTACGTAAATGGTTATGGAAGATCGCGCCAGATTTTATTACTGTAGAAACAAATCCTGAATATCGTTCTTTCACAAAAAATTCAATTCTATTGGACCTAAAAAAACGAGATTCAGAAGAATATAAGTACCTTGATCCGGATGGTACTCACAGAACTCAAAAACCTTTACATCCTTACGATCAGGTAAATCAAGTCCAAAATGAATATTTTAATATCTTAAAATAATTAATTTATTCGTTTTATGATCCTTTAGGAACACGAAAAAGAGCTTGTGAGATCGATATTTGAATATTTACGTAGGGGTCAATTTGACGATGCAATTGATATTAGCGACAAAAACGGCCATTACTGGCGATCTGCTATTTTGAGCGGAATTATATTATACGATGAAAAAGTTGACGGTAATGTAAAGATCCGAATCATTTATTCATTTATCCGAGTTTGATTATCATTTTTTATGAAAATTTGATCTTTAGTAGGGAATAATATGTAAAGTGAAAATAATCATTTCATAGGCTTACATATTAGTAAAATTGGTTGTAAATTTCAAGCTGTGAATACGGATCGTGTTACCTCAAATGGTTCAAAGAATTTATGATAACTTAAATAATTCAAAATATTATTATATTTGTATTGGTAACTAATTTATATAATTTGCGTTTAAAGAAAATGGAAATGTGACGACAATTGGAAACGTTAATCGCCAAATATGGCGCGGAACGTGTTACCATTGTGCTAATCAAGTAAATGTTTCTAATGTTTGTGAATTTTACCAGATTTATTTTTTAAACTTTGTTTCTAATGTGTTTATCTTATAGGAGAAACTCGATGTATACGATAGAGCAATATATGGTGTTCTTAGTGGGAACTATGAAAGTGTAAATAAATTATAAGTACATTTCATGGCCACCAGAAATTATTATGCAAATTGTATAATTGAAATAATTTTCATACTTTTAGATTATTCCTATTTGTCGAACTTGGGAAGATTATGTTTGGGCCTATTATAATAGCCTAATTGAGTGTCAACAAGAAGAGGTGTGTCACCGAATTAAATCTCTTATATTATAATGTTTTAATTGATTGGCAATGGCATATATATTTCTTATTTATTTATTTAAAGTATTTTAGTAAGCATGCTCGGCATATGGGAGTTAATGATGATGATGATTTACCAATAAATATCAAGGTTTTAACACCAAAAGAAATATTTGAGTTAGTGGAATCAAAAAGAGTTGATAGGTAAGCAATCTTTATGTTTAAACAACTTAAGGATAGTGCACGATTTAACTACCCATATATGTTAAAAAAAAATTTTTTTTTTAATGACTTTTAGTAGGGATTTTGATCTTGAGAAGTTCCACATTATTCAAAAGTTGATTATTTTGAACGATTCAAAAGAAATGGTTAAACAATTAAAAGTAGAAATAATTGATAAACGATTAAGACGTGAAGAGTATATATAATATTTTCGAAAAATCCTATCTTTTGATAAATTTTTATATTTATTAATTATATTTGTAATTTTTAGTGAAATTGCTTATGTTCATTTCCTTCGCCTTGCGACACATTTAATTTTGTATTTACGGGATTTGATGCTTTCAACCCCTGATAAGGAATCGGATGATATTATCAAATTATATACTGAACTATTGATAGAGTGTCATCAGGTACATTTTATAATTATAATATCTGAAATATTATAATAAAAATAATTAACCATAGATTAAAATACATAGAATAAACTTATTGCGTTGTATGCATCAAAATTACCGAGAGAGATATCTATTGAAATTTATGCCTCGTTTTTAAAAGGTAAATTACCCATATATCTGTTTATTATGCTTAACAAGCAATCTAACTTAAAATGTTTATGTACTTGTAATATTAGGTGTAACGTCAAGTTGCACAGAGAGACGTAAACTTTTCACTTTGGCGGAACAGTATGGTCTCAATGTTGTCGCTATTACTCGAAAAACTTTTGAATTAATATTTAAAGAGATCGAAAGTCCAGTATGTAATAATTTATTTTTATTTCTGATCAATGGATGACATATTTTATCAATTAATTGAATCAATCTTAATTCAGGATAGATATGGTCCTGTATCTGATATCAGGATAATAACTTTGCAAGAACCTGTCAACGCAGTTGAGGAAATACAAATTCGTGCACTGGAATGGTTAACGTTTAGCAAAGAGCAACATCGTGAAGCTCTAAAGTCAGCGAATGCTTTATGCAGAATATTTCTCGGTAATTTATATTTTCAAACGATTACTTTCAATACTACTACTATATTTATGAAATATAATGAATTATTTAATAAAATATTTAGCTTCTGGAAGAATGAATGTAGCGGGTAAGATTATAATGGAAATGAAATATACAAAATCGCCTTTATCAGCTATACGCTATGTGAAACCCGATGACGATGAAGATGAGATTGATACTGTATTCATCGAACATCAGAATTATTGCACCATGATCGAATATTATAACAAATATGAGGCTTGGTGGAAAACATGGAAATCGAAACCTGAAAAGTAATTAATGTCTCTGCTTTAAATTTTCTTATTTACATTTTGATTGATTAAAAATTTTTTTTTTTATCCTAACAAAATTCAAAAAGACCTAGCTCGAAAGAGTTGAATGAATGGACCAAAAATATTAAAGTATGATTAAAAACGTTTCTGCCTTTTAATACCATTAATAGGAATTAATCTTTTATTTGTGATCATTATTAGGATATTACGAATTCTTTGGATATTCGTTTTCATAAATTTTTAGATTCGTATGTTATTGATTTCTTAAGAGATACAAAGACCATGGTGACTGAAGAAGGTAATAATCGATCCTAAATGTTGTCATGGTATTTAATGAATTAACGTGTTGCAACTTTTTTTGAAGATGAAATTCGGATACGTGAATTGGAACGAGTAATGGATATCTATATCCCAAATGCAGTTCTCCGACATCATAAAGTATTGTATGAAACTCGTGACATCCTTCCGGCGTGCGTATTTATTTAATATACTTTTTTTTTTTTTGCGTATTAAATATAAATATAATGTTGTTATTATTTATATAATAGAAATTTGGAAGAAAGCTTTAACTTAGCCAACTTGGTGGTTGAAGAAAATGCTGATCTCACTATACATTTTCGACGTTCGAAAAAACTACCATTGCTAATAATGTCATTGCGTGATTCTTATCTCGAAATACTAAAGAAAAACCCCAAAGATATTTCAAACGTTTTACACGTTGATTAAAACTCAACTAGATTAATAATAACTCAAAGTTAATATCTATTCACACATAATTGTTATTAGAGTAACAGTAATATTATTCATTTTTTTTAAAAAAAAAAAAAAAAAATCTATAGATGATAATAGCTTTATAAATAAAATTTATATTGTTGAAATTTCCAAAAGAAAATTAGAGTTTAATTTTTATTTTTATTTTTATTTTTATTATTAATTTGCGCCCCATAATTAATTAAGAAGTTGATTTGAATGACTAAAGTTGAGATGCCATTTGCTGACAGGCTTTGAGATTCTCTAGATAAAATTGACAGAGACCGATATCGTGATTATTAGATTCCAAGCATTTTGTCAAAGATTTGGCATCATTTTCACATGAGACTCCCCCATAATTCTCATTTTGGAACGATTGATATTGAGGTTGCTATAAAATAAAATGTTTTAGTTAATTAATTCAAAATTAGCCAAAATGAAGTTGTATATAATTTTATTTTACCTCAGATTGTGTTTGAGGAGTGTATTGTTGTTGAGAATCTGGTGTTTCAGCTGACCCACTTCCTGAAAATAAGCCAGTAATACCATGACCCTATTTTGATATAGTTAAGTTAATACTATTATTAATTATCATGAAAAAAAAAAAAAAAGGCGAACAGAAAATTTACTTACAATGCTGTGTCCAACAGCTACACCGGCAGCAGTTGATGCCATCTAGTTACATATATTGTATATGGTTATTATGGTCATGAAAAGAATAACAACAAACCATTTCTATTGAAATTACCTGTCCAAACAAACCAGGTGATCTTTGTTCCGCTAAACTAGTTGGTTGTTTTGGTGGAACAGCTGGAACATTAACATTATTTTGTTTTGTTGGTGCTGATAATGTTGAAGCAGGTCTACTGTTTCGTTGCTCAGTAGAAGAAGGTCTTGCGGCAGGTCTTGCGGCGGGTCTGGCAGCAGGTCTGGCAGCAGACTTACGGCGAGCCATTTTTACGAAATTTTTTTCAAGAAAAGAGAAATTTTTTTTTTATCAGAATTTTGTATTAGGTAATAAATAGATTGCGACGATCCATTTTTTTTTTTTTTGTTTCACAAATATAATTGATCATTTGATGTTTTGATATTTAATAATGATTTTATCTACTTGCTAGATCTTTCGAAGTTTTAAAAATTATTATGTAATTTAAATCTTGTAATCTTTTTAGAATAAAATAATCAACTAATAAAACTTTTTTAATCATTAACAAAAAATCAATTTGATCGGTCAACAGTTGGGCCTTTGACCGACCGACCGATTAACTGACCGATTTTATCTGACCCGGTTAATAGTAATATAATTGAGCAGTTTTGGCTTAATTGAAGTTTTAATTTAGTAAAACATTATAATTTTGATTGTTGCTTTTAACAATTCTAGCATGGCATTTATTAAAACTACTTTGTCATTTTATTTAATAGCGCAGCATTATCGCGAACTTTAATTATTTAATTTTCAAAATTTCAAAATTTTTAATTATATATAAGTGTTTTTACTATTTTAAAACATGATTATTTAAACTCAAGTCAGTCTGTCAACCGGTCGCTCAGAAGCATTTGACCGACCGATATCACAACATATAATTTAATCCTACAGGTTTGTTAAAGAAATTAAGAAAACAAAATAAAACTTCTCCCAAAAAAATACAAATTAATTATTATTAAAATCTTAAAGATTTTAAGTAGTTTCCCAACTTCTTGATTTTGATCTTGGTAAGATCATTGTGGATAATTATATTGAGCCTATTCAAACGGTTAAATTTTGACTTTTATATTATTTTATTGTTACAAACAATAAGAGAAAAAGTCAAAAAAAAGTCAATTTGAAAAGGCTCATTTACGGCTGCATTATGGTCGGTCGATTCTGAATTTTGATTGCCCACTTGGTATCGTTATTCGGCCTCATTTTCATCATGGTGGTTTTAGGATAAGATTTTTAGATTCTCTAATTTCGATTGTATAATGTGATAAATAATCGTGGAAAGCAGCTATCTTAACTATTGTAATAATTGATTGGTTATTCGAGGGTTAATTAGTTTCAAACATAGTTAAAAAATTAGAAGTTATAAGTACCGTACCTTGATGTAGTTTGATATGAATTTTAAATTTTCTAGTTATTTTTTTCAGAAAAATACCTTCTATGATGAGAAGTTCGTTAATTCCTTGTATCTTGTAATCACTTTTGTGGTTATTCTAGGAGTTAACAACAATATCTCAAAGATATCACTAAATAAAAGTAAAAAATTTAGTCATATAAAAAATATATATATAATTTTAACTAACTAGAGATACTCACTCCTTTTCGTAGATCCTATATGGTACTTTCTGATTTCCGGTGTTTTCATTAAGACATAATCTATTCCTCCTCCAGAATCAGTAGACCTTCTCAAAGAAACCATAAACGATCACTTCCGACTATTACAGTCCCATGGAAGAGTCATTTCCACAATTTACACTAAATTATATACTTACCTTTACTCATTCTAAAAGTATTTTTTTGTGAAGAAAAAAACGATAAGGTTCATATATGGAGAGAAATAAAAACCTAGGAAACTTATTGATTATCACCCAACCAATTTTTCGTCAGCAGTAGATCATTACTAAATTGAATAATGTGATATATTGAAATTTTTAACACGAGTTTCGTGAAATATCGCGTTTAACTAATTAACTTAGTAGAAATGAACACCACAATTAGAGGGCTTCAACTTGAGTTCGAAAAAGCGAGTACAGGTGACTTTAAACAAGTTCTTTCTGGTTCTTAAATACGCGTTCCTTGTAAGATAACTCGCATTCAATTTTTAGAGCTCGACTTTATTGAAACCAAGGTCAAATTAGAATTTGTTCGAAAATATGAAATTGAACGTCATGCACCAATAAACCCATATAAGGCTTTATCTAAAATGAAAAAATTAACAAAGGATTTGGAGCTGCTAAGAATTGAAAGTGATCGAGTAATAGTTGCGAAACAGGTATTTATTTAACATTTTTTCCTTTCCATAGTAGAAACTAATATCAATCTTTTGTAATTTAAGGAATTTATCCGCGATATGAACAATTTAATAGCGGTAAATATGGAAATGTATGACAAGATACGACGTCAAGTTGGTTTACAGGTAACATCCTATATAATATCAATAAAAAAGTTTCTTAATTAGTATACCCAGTATAACTCGGAAACTTTGATTTTTTATTTTATTTTTTTTTTGAAATTTAATGGTTTTTTTTCTTTAAATTTAGCCTGATTTAAAAACTGAATCTGCCTTAAATAATTATAATTTAGCAGCAAATTCTTGGAAGGAAGATATGAATGATTATAAAAGTTCGGTTTAATTAGTTTAAATTTTACATGGAAAAGAACCCATTTAAAATTCAATTTTTTTTTTATTAATAAAGTATATTTCAAGCCTTATAATTCCTGCTATTCACATCAAGGAATTTCTTTTTTTTTTAGAAACAGGAGTGGGAATGATATTGGGATATTTCATTCGGAAATCTGATAGCAATATGATAACATTAGTGTCTAACTTGTTAAGAAAGACAATAACATTGCCTTCTTTGTTTTTGAAAAAAAGGAAGTAAAATATTGACTTTACTAGGAATATCAAGCTTTTGCTAAAAGCTTCTATAAATTGGAAGATTATAAAGCAGCAATTGTTGGTTGATGTATAATCATAAGTGATAAAAAAGGATTTGTTATCTACTCTAAAAATATAATAATTATCTTTAATCCTTATATAAGCATTTTAACTTTTTACTTCGTTTACTAGACAGTGAAGAAATTAATGGTTACATGAAATCCTGTGATACTATAATACTCTCCGACTTAATTTGGTCAGATTCTTACTACCAAAATTAACTTTCACGTAAAAAAAAAAAAAAAAAAAAAAAGATACTGCGCCACAACTTATTCGGTAAATAAAAATGTAATTAAATGTTTGTGATGATCAGTCGATCATTATTAAAATGATATATTGACGCGACTTTTTTTCCGCTAAAATTTAGAAAAATGTTGCAAGCAACCATTACTGATCACCTTTTGCTTGAAGAACTTCCGCCACTCGTAATTTCTTTTCTTTCAGATTATCCTCCTTCTGAAAGAAGCCTTGTTGCGAAGAAACTTTTGGTGTATGCTGTTAAAAAGCTAGAGGTTTGTGAAAGAAACAACAATGTACCTTACATTTCATACATATTTCTTATATTTGTTGTGGTTCAGCAAAGGTCGGAAAGGCAACAAAACCCAACTAGGCAATATTACCAACTACCCACTTGGTGGGCTCCTGATCATAATAAAGAAAACAAAAGAAAGGATAAAAAGCATTCAACATTACCAATAGAGGAGCAGCGTGTGTATCATGTCCCTTTTATCGTTTTGTTTCATTTAAATGCATTTCAATACGAATCGATGATAATCAATTAGTTTCGAGAAGGATGAATGACGGAATGACTCAGACATCTGATGCTTACATTCGTGCACCTGAAAAGGTGTCCAAAGGTACTCGTGGATATCAAAATTTTATTGCAAGTAAAAGTATCACAGTATTTTGAACCAAAAGTTTATTTTGTTAGGGAACGGCACGCTTAAGTCGAATGGCTCAAAATTGTATTTATGAAAATATGATTGATTCAGTGTTTAACTCCAAGATTATTTTATTTACAACAAATGATCAATTTATTTCCAAGTGAAAAGAAAAGATTTATTCCAATCTGCTCGTCCTCCGAGCCTTCAAACCATGATATCATACCATCAGAAAATGAAGACGACGTTAAAAATTATAATATGCGCAATAAGGACCCTTTCTTTGTTGCTTCAACAAAAAAACCAACAACATATGAACATCTAAAGAAGCCACAACGTAATTTATTAATATAATTAATATAGGTAGTATACTTGACCTGTTCATATGATTATACCTTTTTTTTTTTTTTATAGAGACAAAGGATATTAGACATCCGCTCCGAACGCGTCAGATACCAACCCAAACTAACACTGCCAAGCCAAGTATTAAAGGTATTAAAACAGGCAAATGTTTTAGTAACACAGGTGATTATCGCAAAAAACATATGCACTGTATTTATTATTTATCTTTAAGGATAAAATTTCTTATACCCTTATAGATAATCATCAACCGGAACATACGTCAAAACATAAGCAGATTGCTAAACTACAATCTTTAAGTAAAAGTTCTCCGAAGGATAATTTTAGAGGTGAGTAACATCATTCAACTGATCATTCAAATAATACTCATCAAACTACTTAATGTGAAAGTCGTTTAAAGCTAGATCTAAGATTAGATCGAAGAACATAGCCGAGATTGCTGATGAGTTTCTTGAAAGTAATTTTATGGCTTATATTGAACCTCCACATAATAAAGATGATAGCTTAGAGAATAATGAAGATTTGGAAGAAATCATTTATAAAGCTAGACAAAAGACATCTGTGTAAATTTGATTTCTGTACTTAATTAAGTTATAAAAAAGTAGTTGGTTGTTATCCAATATATACAACTTTAATAAAATGAATGATCTAATTAATTATTTGAAGCTAACTCATGTGGTGACAGGCGAGACAATTTTTTTTTTAATTTTGTAAATATTAACGAGATTTTAATTTTACAAGCTTTATTTGCGCTCCAAATTTACATTCGAAATCTTATTTTGCAGATTTTAAATGATAAACTTTATTGATATAAATAAAGAAGACGATTAAAAATATAGAACTTGTTTGCTACCAGCATAATAAATACTAGTACCCAGGTTGCACGACGAAGACGTCAATACTAATCGCAACCCAAAAAAAATGGAGCTCCTCAACCGAGAGAGCCTTTGGGTTTCTATTTAATGACTTTATTTTTTTATATTTTATTTTTATACCCCTCTTTCATGTCCCAAGTTTTCCTTCTTGGCGGTTTGATACCCCAGTTCTGTCCTTCTGGGCGTTTGTAACCAGTTATCGGTTCTGGAGTTTGGTAACCAGTTTCTTTCTGGTCGAAGTTCTCTGCTGAAAAGAAAAATGCATAACCGGAAGCACGTACAGAACCAGTAGACCTTTTGCCAAAGAACTTCTCGTTTTTATTTATATAAATGGGGTGAAGAAGGGGACACAAAAACAGAATGTGCTTGCGAAAGACTGTGTTCGCGAGATGGGTAAAAAAATTAAAGGGAAAAAAGAAAATGGGAAATGTTTATTTGTAAAAACCCAATATATGTATATCTCTAACACGTTAAAGCTTTCCAATTCAGGAAAGATGATGATCATTTCACATGACCAATCAATCAGTTGTATGACGTATTTAAGATTTGTCGAATAGATAAGATGGTTAATAATCATATAGACCAATCTTACTCAGAAATGCATAGAATATTAGAATTTTATTCAGGAATTGGAGGGATGGTAAAAAAAAATCACTTTTTAACAAAAAAATTCATGCATGTTATGGTAAAATCAAAAGCTCAATTCTTTTTAAAATATAAATTTAGCAATATGCCTTTCAATTATCAAACAATTCGGGTGATATCCTTGCAGCATTTGATATCAATACGGTAGCGAATTCGGTATATAAACATAACCTCGAAAAGTTCAAGAAAAAATCAATCGTACAACAGGTAACCCTCCTTTAATTAACTCATCCTTTACTTGATGCAGATGAATTAACCAAATTTTTTTTATTTTTTCGCTTTCGTTTAGAAAAGTATCGAATCATTATCTATAAGTTATTATGATTCGTTTAACGCTAATGTATGGTTAATGTCACCACCATGTCAACCATACACTAGAACAGGTTTACATAAAGGCTCATCTGATCTACGGGCGAAATCCTTTCTTTTTTTGATTGATATGTTGTCAAAGATGTCTTCTCCTCCTACTTATATTTTGATTGAAAATGTTAAAGGATTCGAAGTAGGTAATTTAAAAAAGAAATGTCTTAATCTAAATGCGATTTAATCAGTACTTAATGCGACATGCTTACAACCTTTTTTTTTTTTTCTTTTACATTTTCATAGGAATCTGATACTAGAAATACCCTTGTAACTCAATTAAAGAATTGTAATTATAATTATCAAGAACTTTTTATTACACCAGTTCAATTAGGAATTCCGAATTCGAGACTTCGATACTACATGCTGGTAAATCCACATCATTAAAGTTCTTCTGGAATAAGCATATTTTAAAAAATAGGTCAATATTTAAATTAAATTTGATGTAGGCAAAGAAACAACCTCTTATCCTCAAAGGATCGGATCGTTCAAAGATTTTTTACCATATTCCTTGCTCTTCATACAATCAACCATTATCTTCTGATTTAATAATTAGACCTATTGATGATTTCTTACATGATGATGTGAATTACGAGAAATATTCCGTTCCTAACGAGGTAATCTAAATAATTTATCATTTACGATTTTATGTGATATATCTCCTATGAACGATTTTGACCTTTTTATGTGATTTATAATTCCCAGACTTTGATTAAATATGGAAAGTTGTTTGGTAAGTTAAAAAAAATTGATCCTATAAATGATATATTACTTGAAAATTTTTGACTTTTCGTTTATGTAGATATAGTTAAACCATCTTCGCGTCGTAGTTGCTGCTTTACCAAAGGTAAATCACTACTGATTAAATGCGACGAAGTAACTGATTTATAAAGTTTTTCGCGAACAACAATTAAATATAAACTTTTTTTTCAAACTATTTGATATTACTAGGATATTATCATTACGTAGAGGCAACAGGTTCGATCATACAATTATCCGAGGATTTAGATGTAAGTTATCAGCAAAGGACTTTTTCTATTATAAAATCCATTTTTTCTCACTTGATAGTTCATTTTACAGTCAGATAAAGTTTTCAATAAAGTTGAACGAAAAGGGTCAATCTTGGAACAAGAAAACATTGATTTAATTCCACGATTAAAGTTAAGATATTTCACCGAAAACGAAATTGCTTCTATTATGGGATTTCCGAAAGAATTTTCATTCCCTGATGAAATTACTTTAAAACAAAGATATCGAGTTTTAGGGAATAGCATTAACGTTATAGTTGTTTCCGAATTAATAAAATATTTATTGTCGGATTAAAAGAAAACCTTGCTTATATCTTCACTCTCGTTATGATTTCTTTTTACATCATTAATATTAGTTAGTTATTATAAAGGACGATGATATTGGATTCATTCTTATATTAGAAAAAATTCTTCATTATCATCCTTGTTTTTTTGAATAATTCATTTTATTCCATTGCTAATTCCATTATCAACCATTATAATTTTTTGGTTTTGTTGAATTAGAAGTTGACCTTTTTGGATCGTGTGATATATAAAACTTAATTATTTATAATGAGCGAACAAATAGAATGAAAGAGTCTGACACATACCATCTCTATTACCAACCGATTCGTTGTTTTCTCTCGTCCTCAATGTCTAAGAATTCTAGTATCTTTATAGATTTGGTAATTTTTGATAATGATCATGTGTTACATAAATATCTTTACATTAAAATCTTTTTGATTGTTTTTTAATTTAACGTACAGAAGGACTACCGTTATTTTGATGATTAGGGGTACCAACTCCACTACCGCCACCACCATTGGTTTTTCTTTGAGCGATCTTTTTCTTTATATAACTCCTAACATGCTCATGTCCTTCCTCAGTTACACTAAACATCCGCTTTCTTTCGTTAAACCAAATTACAAATCCATGATTTGTTGCATATTTCAATACCATCTCATAATCTCCTTGATTTCGAAATTCTTTGTATAAATAACCTACAACAAGAAAAAGAATTAATCGCTCTTTTTTTTTTTAAAAAAAAAAAAAGTAATGTTTGTACGTACCTTCAGTCGCTTCTAACCTATTACGCTCGATTTCCCATAATCGAATTTGATCCACGACTGTTGGCGGTAATAAAGGAATTCGTTTCTTCATTTGTGGGTGTGCATGACTGGATAAATATGAAATTATCTAGTTACATTTTTTTTTTAAGAAACAAAATATCCGTCAATCTATGTTATTTTGCGATAATAAAGGATAAAAGTGTGTCTTAAAGACTAAGATTTTCTTTTGTACCTGACTTGCGGTGATGCCATGCTTTAATGCCTTCCTGACGCTATCACGTGTAATCAATGCATAGACCATATTTGCAAATCTAGTTTGAAGTTCACAAAACAGTCTTAGCACTGAAATTTGTAATTTGGATTCTTTGGTGGGGTGAAAAGAAAATTTTAATCAAATAAAAGATCGTAATCATCAAGGACAACTTTAAAACTACTCACTACAATTTACCTGTATACGCGTAAAGTTTATAATTGGTTTCAACGATAATAAATCCTTGTTCCGTGGCTCCGTCTTCACCAGTCGTTGTACTTGCACTGGATGATACAGCTGATGAAACTACGGCAGAATTACCGGATGTTAACGTAGTTGCAAGTCTGGTTGGATAATATCTTGATGATCCTTTCTACACAATTTTAGGAATATTAAAATATTTAACTAAAAAGGAACGCGTAATAAATTGAGTAGTAAGTAAGTAATATGGTCAACTCTCGATATACCACTTCATAATACATCATAGAACGTTGTTAGTGAAATCCTCTATATAACCAAAGATCCTGGTCCTTAAAGGTGACTCGGTATATCGAGAAGATACTGTACCTTTCTACGGTATGCAAGGCCGAAATTAGCTAAATCATCGAGCAATTGTTTTTGAGTATCAGTTAACCCTTTAACCGAATAATCCTAAAAACGAATACAAATCCTATCAAAACGTGCTCTTACGACAAAACAATTCATTTCTAATTAAAATAATGAATCATATTTGCATACCATCCCTAATTCTAAACTTCCCAACATAAAAAAGAAATTTAATACTTCCACTACGTTCATCTGTAACAGCTAAACGAAATTTAAATAATTTTAAAACTTTAAAAAAAAAAAATCTTCCTTTTAATTAAAAAAAAAAAAGAATGCTTTCGTTTTACCTCATCAGCAATATCTAAATATTGGATTAAAAACGCCCATACTTGTGTATTAACATCTTGTAATAAAAATTGAAATCCTTTATTTGTAATCACAAGTTTGTCTTTTCTATTACGAAAGAATTCGAATTAGAAATTTTCATCAAAAGAAAAAAAGTTTTTTCTTGGTTACTTTATTTACCCTTCTTTCATTAACTTAGCCCTAGTAACAACCTTAAGTACAGCGGCGCTAGGCTGGCTCATACTCTCAGTTCCTACCATAAAGTGTAAGATTTCCTCCCATTGTTTCATTGCATGTCTATCCAAGAATGCTATGTCCGGCCTATCGCTTGCCGGTTTTTTACATGGTACTCCAAAACTTTGATGGCTTCCTCTTTTTTGGGGGAAAATAAATTACTTTGCGAAACCAATTAAAATAAAATAGAAGCTTAAAGAAATAACTATTTACCCTCCTGTTAAACAATCTCGAAAACGTTCTCGAAATTCACTATTCATTTGTATATACCCATATTGATCGATTGTCATTATACTTAATTTCGATAATTTCTCTAACGCCTCATCAAATTTACTTTATAAAAATGAAAAGTTAATTAGAATAAAAAAAAGGACACCTCAAAAAATAAAAATAAAAAAATTTTAACATATACGTTAAAGCAGCTTCTTCATTTTTCACCCATAACCTTAAATCCGATTTTGTTAAATTAACAGGACTATTAATAGGTTGTGTGAATAATAATGACATTACAAATTGTCTTGCTAATGACGGTAAAAGTCTTTTAGATTTTTAATTTAATAAAATAGTAATTATGATTAAGTGAAATATTTTATTTTATTTTTTTTTTTATTTAATCAAATTCCAAAGTATCGAATAGAGGAGCGAAAAGAAATAAAAGTCAGTAAGTAAAGGATTAAATTCAACTTTTTTAGATAAAATAAACAATCTCCCCTCTCTCTTTACTTAAAAATTCTACTATATAAATGTTTCCTTCAAGAAAAACTTCCATTGTAAAAATTTGAGAATCATCATCGATCAAAATCATTCTCTTTCACACCTCTAATATAAGAAAACTAACAATAAACTAATTACATCTTGATATATCACATCCGTAAATCATCTTATTCCAGTTTTCTTAAACTGGAATAAATTTTGACTCTTCGAATATTTCCTCACTCTTGTACTTTAAATTACACCACATAAACAATTAATTTTAAATAAAATAAGTACAGACCTGAAGATAGCTAAGCAAGTAGCTGGTTCTTTATAAAGCTGGTCAAGTGTATATCTGGGTAAAGCTTCAAGACATTCATAGATGTTTGTTTTAAAATGTGTTACTGCTGTTGGCATCTTTTCGCAGAGATTATGTTTTTTGTAAAAATAGTGAATTATGTCAGGGATCGGCATAAGATTTATCCTTTTTTTTTTTTTTTTTTGAAAATCAAGGTAACACTATGATAGAAAATGTTTGGTCTGAGATGTTTAATAACTTGCAACTCCGAGTTCTTTAAATTTGAATTACAATGTTTAAATTTATAAAAGACAAAGACATTTGTGTAAATTTGAATTCTGCAATTAATTAATCAAAAACTTTTTATTATGGGGAAAAGAAGCACGGGGGATAAAAACAATTTATTTTTATGAAGCGATGATCAACAGACGCGTCTTGATAATTTAGTCGCAAATATTTCAATATATGCGATGATTGATTTGTCTGTCACTGGCGTAGTATATTGAGTATATTGATAAATTTCGCGAGTGAAATGTTATTGTTTATCGATAATTATGGGCATACTTTATAAGTTATACTATAATTGGAAAAGTTCTCTTGCAGAAATTTTTTTCTATGGGAGTGATACAGGAGATATAGATATGCAAAAAATATTGTATAGTCTCGTGATGTGCGCCTGGAAGATTTGGAAGCACCCTTGGAAGCACTTTTGGAAGGGTTCGAAGCATAATTCTCTAATAAATTCATTTGGGGTGTGAGAAACTTGTAGTTAACAATATTATCAATAAAAACAAATTATCTGTAAAAATTCAGAGAGCAAAGAAATAATATAGTGCTGGGACTCGCATTAAATGGCCTAGGACGCGTACTCCCTCCCTATTTGATAGCATCATACATTTCATTCTCTACTCTAGATTTTTTTAACTTTGAAAAAAATATTCACCCATAATAATACATACATTTAATGTTTGTAAATTTCAACCACGCGACAAAAAATCTCCTTTCTAACCATATGGGAGGCGTCAGTAAAAAAGGGGGAAATCCAATTTAAAAAAAAAAAATTTATCAAAATTTAGATTTCCCCCTTTTTCTATTAACTGCCGCCCATATCTCAAAATTAACCATCGTTATCCGACTACTATGCTCATTAAAGAAGATATACGACAGAAGGCAACTAAACTGTACGAGGACTTTCAGGTGATTTATTGTATATATAAATAAATAATACATGTAGGATAGGATTGTATGCATAATTAGACGACTATTTGTTGCTTTTTGTTTTTACAAATCTGAAGAAAAAACAAAGTTGTTGGATTGAGCCAGAGACTATTTGTCAGCTGAAGATCGACTACTTGTCTATTCTTCTCTTTGGTCTCCTGTAGCACAACTAGGGACTATTTGTTACCGGTGTTGGAATTTTGTTCGCTATGGCCTTTACGCTTTTTAAAACTACGAGATTTAATATTTGCTTATGTATTATTGGCCAAATTTAATCATTTCTTTCATGTTTCACGATAGCAGACATGGAAATCCTCACGAACAACGGAATATTTCAAACAGCTTGAGATTCGTTATCAGACAAAACGGAAATTGGAAGTGACTGAAAGTCAGAAGATTATTGAGCTCGCCGAAATCGACCGAATGAAGGTACTTTTTTTTTTTCTTTTATACACGACTTTCTAACTATAGTATGCTATCTGTACTAATATTTTGATATGTATATGCTACAGGTTTCTCAATTACGGAACAATACAGAATCAGTAACAAAGCATGTTTCTGATAGCTTTGTGGAATTTACTCAAGAAAATACAAGAATCCAAAAACGCACATTAGAAAGTAGCTTTAGTAAAAAGAAAAAGCCTGTGAATTTTTTTTTCGTACGATTTTTAAAGAAAAATATACAGAAAATCAATAATCTTTCTTTTGATGACAGGATGATGAAAACGCGGGTTATGCCATGAGTTCGAAATTTTCTTCTGCGCAGTGGAAAGAAATAAATGAAAAAATTAGATCTTTAGTATATCAACTTCAAATTAATCTTTTGCATGAAATTTGTCTGCAATTTTATTTAATAATTAAAAATTATTTGTAATATTTTTAAAATAACTCATTTAAAAATTAATATTTTTATAATAAATTTTAAAGATAAATAAATATATAATAAATTATTATAAAAAAGTTAATTTTTTTTTTTGAACTTATATGGGTTGATTGCTAGGAAATTCAAGTTCCGGTAATTTAGATTACAATGTATTAAGCTTTTAATTTTAGTCAAAAATTTCTCAGAACCTGATTTTCCTAGAAACTTTCCTATATATCTTACTTCTATTGATCTCAGAAATATAAAATATAATCATTTAATAGGTCTTAATAAGATGAATTCAACAAACTAAATTTTATTTTTTTATGATTATTAATAATAAGTTATTTCAAAAAATTAAAAAATTAAAAAATTGATAAATATTAATAATTACTAATTTAAAAATACTATCATTAGATACATCTTAATATAACAAATCTAATAAATTTTATTTCATCTTTTTATAATTACTAGCAATTAAAATATTATAATTTTTTTAAAATATTTTATAATCAATTTTATATTTACAATTTAAAGGATAATATAATAAATATATTTTTTATTAATTTTTTTACTTAACTTAAACTATTATAATTTATTAAAATAAATATAATTTTATATTAATTTATAATAATCTTTCAACTTATTAATAAAAATTTTAAATTATAATTATTATAACAATTATTTTTAAATATTATTATTATATACCATATTCTTCTAAAAATAAACATAATTTTGTTATAATATTACTTATTTTCAAATAGTTAAATTTTTTTTAATATATAGTTAAAATTTTAATTTTTGTGTAATAAAATTGAATCAATATGACTCTAACGTGATCACTGATCATTTAATATGCATTATATGTATTGCAAACTGGTTTACGAACTTATTTTATGCCAGTTTACTATATCAAATATAATAAATAAAAAATACCAATTATTTCAATAATTTTTGTAAAGAATAATATACTTGGATGACAAGTGAAAGTGCTGAAGAAATTGGAACAGAAAATATTCGCTATGCTAAATTAAATGATGTATACTTGTTGGTAAAGTTTATTTAGAAAATAATCTATAATAAAATAATCATATAATCTTTCAAAATTTGTAAAATTTTAACTAATTTAAACGAATTAGTTTTTGAATTAAAAATTAGTAATGATGATAGAAATAGTGTTGATAATAATGATGATGGTGATGATAATACTAGAAGTAATGATTATAATGATAATGATAGTAGCTATGATAGTGATGATAGCAAAGTTATTAGTAGTAAAAGTAATTAATATATTTAATTATATTAAAATTTTACGATTAATATGTATATTTTATAATAGTAACAAAAGTAATTATTTTATAAAAATTTATTAATAAAATATATTTTTTTAATTATTTGAGCTTTATTTTATTATTTAAAATATTCTTATTATATTATTACATATAGTTTTAATATGAAATTAATTAAATATTTAATGTGTTACTTATTTTTAGGTATTGTTTATTTTAAGAGTTACTTATTTTCAGAGAAATATGATACTTTTATTTTTATTTAAATTTATTTTAAAAATGTTTATATTATAAATAAAAAACAAAATAAACCCACAAATTTATTATTTATATATTTTACAAATACTTTTATTTTATAAAAAACTTTATTAAAATTTTAATTTTACAAACAAAATTCAAAAAACAAAACAAATTGCCTTTTGAAACTGCTTTCATTATATTTCTAATATAAAACAACCTAAAAATATTGCTTTTAATTCTATAAATAAAATTAATAAAAACATTTTTCTAATAAAGATATTATTATTAAAACTAATATTTAAAAATAAAATTTAGTTTATTGGATTAATCTCATTAAAACCTATTAAAATTAATATTTTTATATTTTAAAATTGATAAATAGAAAGATATATAAGTTTAAACTTTTAGTTTTTTTTAATAATAATTTATTTAAAAATTACTAATTAATTACATTTATCATTATATTAAAATTATTATCTAATTAAATTAAAAAAGTAATTAATTAACATAAAATTTTATTTAAGTATAAATTTAAGAATAATATAAATATATTTAGACATTTATTATTTAGTAATCATAATAAAATCATCATATAATATAATAAAATATTTTATTAAATTATAATAGTTATTATTCATACTTCTCACGTTTATTATTTATATTTTCTTATAATAAATTATAATGTGATTAGATAAAATATCACATAATCGGCATATTTGCTTTATTTTTATCAGAGTTATAAATAAAATTATTAATAAAATAATTTGTAGATGTTACATTTCTATTCTTTCTTTAACTATATTTAAGTAAATTAAGTTTGGAGAAGTATTTGTATTATTATTGTTATTATTTTTAATAATTAAAAATCAGATGTTAATAAGTTTCTATCTATTATAAAATTGTTTTAATTCAAGTTCTTTATCATCTTTTAACTTTTTTGATTAAAGAATATTTTATGATCAAATGTTTAGTAAAATTACATTTATTATAGCATTTGATATTAGTAAAATACCATTGTAATTTATTATTATTAAATATATATATATTTTAATAATATCATTTAAGATATTAATAAAGTCAAATTAATAAATGACAAAAAATCTGAGTTTATAGTTATTAGAGTAAGGAATATATATTACTTTAACTTTAGTTGCAAATTTCAATATTATAAATATTATGTGTAAAAGTATTATATGGGTTGATTGCTAGGAAAATCAGATTCTAGAAATTTTTTAATAAAATTGAGATTTTTATGCATTTTAGTTTTTGATGTTATTGAATTAAAATGCATTAAGCTCTTAATTTTAGTCAAAAATTTCTCAAAACCTGATTTTTCTAGAAATCCTCTTATATGAAAGATTAGTCAATTTGATATAAATATCATTTCTTTATTTAATTTTTTTAAGGATGAGAAAGGTGGATATACTTAAATACAATTATTATATAAATATCAAGACCATTATGTCTAAAACAATATAGGGACGGTTAATAGAAAAGAGAAAATCTACAAATTTTGAGTAATTTTAGTTATTAAGCTAGTTTTGTTCACATGACCATGATTAGCAGAGTAAACCAATAAAAGATTTTTAACTAAAAAGTAGATTTTTTCCTTTTTTACTAACCACTTCTCATATAATAATATCTTAAGATTTTTATATATAATATATACATATTATTATAAATCTCATATTTGTATATAAATGCTGATAATATTATCATATTTGAAAAAATTGAAAAGAGTATATTCTTTTTAAAATATTGCATTTTTGTTATCAAAATATAAGATTACAAATCTGATGAGATTGATTTATTTTACTTTAATCATTTTAAAAGTATTATTTTAGGCAAATTTTGCATTAATTATTTTAATAACAAAAATAATAGAAGAAATAGATAGTTCTCTAATTTTTAGAAATAATTATTATATAAGTAAATAGTGTTAGACAAATGATAATAATAAAGTCATTATTTCAGTATTTATAGTATTTTTTTTAATAGAAATGTATTTATTCTTATTTAAAATATTAGGTAGAGGGTGTTTTTATTATTATTATTATATAATAAACTATTTTTAAAAAATTATTAATTTTAAAAATTTTATAGATACATTTTAATATGACAAATCTAATAAATTTTATTTCATCTTTTTATAATAATTAGATATCAAAATGTTTTAAATATTTTATAAACAATTTTATATTTATCATTTAAGGGATAATATAGTAACTGACAAATTAAAAAATTTTATAACTTTAATTATGAATAATTTAAAAAATAAGATTAAAATTGCTATTTTTATGATTACTAAATTTGAAACATGTATATTCTTGAAGAAGTGATACTAAATAATATAATAATACATTTATATTTCTTTTAATAAATAATTTTAATAAGATTATAATAAATTAGATATAAGTATTAAATTATGAATTTAAATAAAAAGAATTAATATATAAAATACTAATAAATTCTTTCATATTAATATTTTAAAATTTTATATTGGATTATATTATTACAAATCATTTAAGTTTGATTAAGATTCTTATATATGACATTCTTTAAATGATTTATTATATATGAATTGAATATAATTCATTTAAATTTATGAGTAAGCATCATATAAATTTATTTCATTTGTAAAAGTATTTACATATTTACAATTAATATTTATATAAGAAGCTTTGATTTTGTAAATACTATACCGATACATCACTTTAAAGATTATCGAAAGTCAAAAAATTAGCTCAACCACTGATTAATTTTAACCGACATTAAACAAGATTTCTCTTATATCTAAAATAAATTGCAAATTTAAATCTTGATTTAATTTGAAATTCGGATCTGTTAATTCTAATTTAATTCTTGAATACGGATGTAAATAGTAAATCGAAACTTTAAATCGGATTGCAGCTAAATTATATAAACTGGATTGTAAAATCGAATTAGAAACTTAAATCAGATATGTTTTCAAATAATCGGATTGAATCTCTACTAAATGAATTAAATTCTGGATTGAGTTATCCATACCTTAGTTAAGTATCAAATGCTTGAGAAAGGCACAATAATTATGTATCAATTATTTTTTCAATTAATCGTTAATAAATTTGACATCCTGTTTTTTCAGGTAAAATTTTTTAAATTCTTAAATTAAATCATCTACTTTCAATATTTTTTCAAGTATTTGTATCTTTTGCTGAAGTACGTGGGTGAAGTCATGTGTTTAATGACCCTACTTTTACACTTACATCGATCAATTTTTGTTATAACAACACATCGTTTCGCACATAAAGCGACTAAAATTGCCGAACATTCGCTATTCTCAACGATTGGGTGTATTCAAAATTCATTTGAATTGGATTAAATTTTTTAATCCAAAGTAAACTCCACGATTGAGATTGGGTATAAAATCCAATCAAATCCAATACATGTATCATTGTTTCTTCCAATGCCTTTTTTTCTAATTCTGAAAGGAATGAATAACTAATAAAGCAAAATATCTTTTTATCATCCATGAATGATAACCCACTTCTGATATTAAATCCTGAAATGTAATGAAGTTTAAACTTGTAAAATTGAGATTTAAAGAATTTATTCAATTAAAAATTGACAATTATTTTCATCACAAATCATCACTTTTTAGCCCTTATTTTTCTTTGAAATGGATTTAGCGATGTCACATAAAGAAGCTGCTAAACCAATAACCTGAAGTTCACTTTCAGTTCCGGATTTGATAATTAACTCGGTTTTGGAAATTTCCATTAAATATTCATTATAATAATCTTCTTCAATATCTTCCTCAGAAGCAGATTTCATAAGTTTCAGCATGGTTTGAACGATATCCAAGGCGGAATAACCTTCACCACATAATTTACTTACAGCATTAAAAACATTTCTCACTTCATAACGTATGCAACGTTTAAGCAATTCCATTATATATTTGGGATCCGGTACATCACACACTTTGTAAACGTTATCTTCATTGACCATGCCAAATCCAGAGTAAGTAGATTGAAGGTTATTAATACCTTGCCTCATATCTCCATCTGCCGTAAATATGATTGCTTGTAAACCTTCAGGAGTATATTTAACATCTTCTTTTTCTACTATATATAAAAGACGTTTTGCAACTTCTTCGTCTGATAAATTTGAAAAAGATAATTTCGTCACTCTGCTCATAATTGCTTCATCAATTTTATCATCGTTATTACATGCTAACGCGAATCTCGTAGTGTCAGAATAATGCTCCATAATTGCTCGAAGTGCTTTTTGTGCCGCATCCGTCATACTATCAACTTCATCCAGAATTATAAATTTTTGTAATCCGGGAGGGAGTGTGACTTTTGTTTGAGCGAATGCCTTAACCTTTTCTCGAATGATATTAACAGATCTATATAGTTGGTTTTCGCATAATAAAGAAAGCAATTTTAGCAAAAAATACTTTGTAGTTGACCTTTTGTTGCAAGAATAACTCTCGTTAACAAGGAAAAAAAAAAATCTCCCAAGTAATTAAAAGTTTATATTACATTTACACTACCTCTCATCAGATGCATTAAGTTCTAAGATAGCTTTTTTGGCTAGTTCCTTTCCATATAATTCATTAGCGAGGCAAACAATGCTACTAGTCTTACCAGTACCAGGAGGTCCTGATAATAAGAAGTTTGGTATGTTTCCTCTTTTAGCAACGTTCTTCAATATATTTATTGAAGGTTCATTTCCAACTATATCGTCAAACACGGCTGGACGATATTTTTGGAGCCTATTTACCGTATATATTGTTAAACCAAGAAGTTACAAAAAAACACGCGTCATTTATAACATTAGATTACCATGGAAGATCTGTTATTGCTATGTTTGCTCTTGAGCTATTGGACATTTTTCCTAACCCTTGAACAAGTTGATATGAATTTAGTTGTTTAAAAAAAACGCGACGATGATCATTAATCCAACGGATGTGTGGCTCAGTTCTTTATTATCTCACTGTGGCGTTTTACAACTTAGATGAATAATAATAATTTGACATTTTAATATTTTTATTTTTTTTTTAGTTTTATAAATGTATAATTGATGATGAATTTTAATAAATAAAATTGTAGTTACGGAATGGAACAAAAAGAAATAAAGGAGGAAAATACATAATAAAAAAAAGTTACTAATTAGTAACACCAAAACCAATAGCACTCATACTTAAAGCAGAGAAATATTTTGTGTGCAACTTGGTTCCTTGATCATCGCCAGCAACGCCTGCTGCAATATGTAAAGGAACCAAATGATCATCGGTCGGATGAGCTTTTCTCAATAACGGATGATTAATTAAATCAATTAATTTTTGATCACGTTCTTTCCCAGTAAATTTGGTACATAATTTTTCAATATCCGATTCAAAGGGTCCAACATATGGAGCTACAAAGTCTTTTTTATCTAACGTAGCGAATGTCTCTCTCAAGTTATGAACTAATGATCCAGATCCAATGATAATAATTCCTTCATTCCTTTTTCAAGTCGAAAAAAGGAAAAAAAGAAAAAAAGAATTAAATAGGATTTTTTAGAATCAGATAAGTTAAAATAACTTTTTTAAGCCTTACCTAAGAGAAGCCAATACGCGACCAACTTTAATGTGATGTTCGTAAGAAGCTTTACGAGTAAGAGATACTTGTAAAATAGGCAAATCGCCGGGTTCCGGGATCGCCACTTTTAATGGTATCCAACAACCATGGTCGAATCCTCTCTTATCATCCAATTCTGATTGGAAACCAGCCTGAATTAATTAAGGTGTAATTTAGCTAAGTTACGAGAATATAAAGTGGTAAAGTCCGTTCGATCATTTTTACGCACCTGATTTAATAGATCCACGATTCTCTTTGCTAATACTGGAGAACCTTTACCATCATATGTTTGTTTATAAAGTATCTCTGGGAATCCATAAAAATCATAAATGATGGGAGTTTTGCCAGAAAAGTTTGTTACTCTGATAGCTTCGGAGGTTTCCCAATGAGCAGAAAGAACAACTATAGCTTTTGGTTTAATTTCTTTGATAATTGATTTTCCCCATCGTTGCATCCATTGATAAGATTCATCCTCTTTGTCTATCACGAGTGTTGGACCTTAAATCAAGAAAAATGTGGATCAATCTAGTAATTCGATGAATTGTTGAATTGTTGATATAAAAGATAACGATCATACTTACCTCCGTGAGAGATATAATAACATGGCATTTTGGTAGTAGACATTTTAATCAATTTGTTTATTTCAAATTTAATGGTAAAGGAATGCTTATTTATAAGTCACCTAATTCTTGTAAATCATCATTATTATTAATTCGACTCGATAATTAATAATTTTGCTTATTAAAAGGGATCACCCGCATTAATTCGGTTTAATCCGGTTTTGGACTTGATAACCCGAGTGATAAATTAGGAAACAGTTTCAATCTCGTCATATAACGTTAATTAATAATCAATGACGATAAAATGATCGATCTCAAATTGGTTACAATGAAAAAAATAAGAGTAACTATTTTGAAAAAAAAAAAAAAAAGAGATCAATAAATTTAATAAATTTTAATTTGAATAAATTGCATTTATAATATAATGATTTTTTTAAATTTTTTTTTTATATTAAAATCTTGGAATCGCAATTAAATAGATTCTCAAGTCGATTCTAAATATCAATATCAATTTCAATCTCTACTTCAGATGTATTACGACTTGACAAATCTTATATAATTTAATTAAATAATATATACTGATATACTTTGCATAAATTTATAATAATTATTTTTTAAAATTATATATAATTAAATACTTTTTATATAATTTGTAATAATAATAAAATTATAAAAAATGTTTTAAAAATAAAATATTAATTATACAGTCCCCGCCGAAAGTAATGGCGGTGGGAATATTAAATAATATTTTGGTCACAGTTTCTCCGGTGTTCCGATTTGACGCATTATTAATTAGGCCGATTT